TACCTAATGTTACAAAGAAAAGACTGTAGTCCAATCACGCTGCTATAGAAGTCTTAGAAAGTATATTGGGGCTAAGAAAATTCACGTTTTCAAAAAAATCCACATACTTTTACAAGTTATATGAATCATTAACTTCTTTCTGAAGTTGTACTCTACTGCAATGTAGAAGAAATTGTCTTTTCTCTACTGTTTGCTCATGGTATTACTTAGAACAGCATATATGATCACTTTTTAAAAGTCGATTAGCTAAACATGTCTAGTGGAGCACTATTATTTTCAGTGCAATAGTATAAAATATCAGATATCCAAATCTTTACTTTGGGAGAAAGAAAATACACAGCTGGGTCTCTTGCAGCAGGTCCAGTTATACCAGATCAAGATGATGTCAAAACAGTGAGCTGAAGCTTTCTGAAACTAGTTTGTGTAACACGAGCCTGAGGCAAAAATCATAGTTCTTTATATGACTAGTAGGAAGACTAATAATTAATAATAACTTCATAGAAAGTTTTATTGATAATGTGCAAATTTGGTCTAAAATGTATTTTTTTTCTTCCCTTTTTTAAGGAAATGAATTCTTACATCTCCCTATTTATAATTAATTTGCTACCTAGTGGAATTTTCAACTACAGAGTGACTTAGTAGTTACTGATGAACTTTACAGAATTTAATGCAATTGCTGTTTCTTTTCAAGCTTAACTCTATTTTGTTTCATTTGTTTTCTTCTTTAGCTGTCTGTGACTCTGGAGACCTTTCAGGATCTGTCCTTGCCTATTCCAGGTAAGGAAGATCTTGCTAAACTCCATTCTGCAAGTCATCAGACATCTCTAGTCAAGGCAGGATCATGTGGAGAAGCATATGCCCCCCAGGGATGGATAGCTTTTTTTATGGAATATTTCAAAAGGTAAATAATATTTACCTTGCTTTATTTATTTAGCTATTTTGAAATTCAAGTTTCTGCTTTTCTGGCAGAACATTTGTTGTTTTTCTTTCTTTTCTGTCAATGATGTTTCAGGTTTGTTGTCTCATGTGTTCCTAGCTGGTTTTGGGGTCCAGTTGTAACCTTACAAGATTGTCTTGCTGCCTTTTTCGCCAGAGATGAGCTCAAGGGTAAGAGGTTAATTACGTGACCATGTTTTTTGTTTGGTTGGTTGGTTTTTTCCTTTTCTGTTTTTCCTTGTATCACAATAAGATGATTCTTCTTAACTTAATGCGATTAAGCAAAGGCCATCAGTTAAGACTTTAATATAGTCATTCCTTGCTCTTATGGGATCATTCATTTCAAAAAGGTAAGCTTCTCACTCCATACTTGAAGCAAGAAATGTCTGTGAAAGCTGCTTTTAGGTATGTTAAATAAATCTGAATGTGCTTTAATGAAATGGTATCAACTGAAGGTTCATAAAAATTTTAAAACCCACTATATTAGTACTCATAGCCTTAATTTTGATTTAGTAAATTATTTCCCTTTTATATTATATAGCATATATCTTCAGATTGTGCTGTACTGCTTCATAGTTGAAAGCATAAAACCTGAGAACGTCTCTCTTTGGTTGCTATGTCAGCACTCTTACAACTGTTAAATATTGGATGCAACCTAAAGATAAATTCCCTTTAAACTTTTATAAATCAAATGTATGCACTTGAAGGGTAGCTACTTGGTTTTAGAGAATAATGGCTGTTTTTCTTCTCCCTGATATTTGCAGGTGATAACATGTACAGCTGTGGAAGGTGTAAAAAGTAAGCTGCCTTTTACTGTTCTTTGTTTTAACTTGTCTTAATCAGAGTGCTTTAATGCTCCTGTTAGTCAAGAGGCTTTTTTTTTTTTTTCTGTAGGATTTGTTATGGTACTATTAATCTCTTAATACTGCCTTGTGTTCTGGCTGTCAGGAATTTAGTGTTAACTAAGGTGCAGGACTCAGCACTGACTCACTGCACCATGTTTGCAAATCAAATGTGATTAATTCTTTTTCATGCCCCTTAAAATTTTAGATCTTTCTGAATTGTTTTTGATGGGTAAAGTAAAGCCCTCTATACTATTAGATTTTAACTGATATGTAGTACATCACTTCAGTGTGTTAAAAAAACAAAACAAAACACAAAAAAACTATGGCTTTAAATAGTAAAGAACCAAGAAAAAGAAGTAGTATGAAGACTGCTTGAAGCACATTATGGAAGAAGTGTTATTCTTTCCTGTATAACTGGTGATTTCTTAAACTTAATTGTTTGGTTTTTTTCTCTTTTGCTGAATAGTCAGCTTTCATAAAGCTTTAAGTCCTTTACTTTTTGCTCAGAGAAAATATTAGCTACATGGAACTTGAGTATCTGTACTTGCTGCTTTGATTTTTTCAGCAGTACAGATCGTCTTCTGAGGCATGATAGTATAATTTTGGCTACTCCATGTCTAGTCTACATTCCAGAAATATTTTGAGTTTGCTTATTCAGTGTTCATCTTACACTTCGGCTGATCTAGCACAAGGAAATAAAACTGTTTAATAACTAAGTATTGGTTGTTTTGTGTTTTCCTTTGGTTTATTTTTTTTTTCTTTGATTAGATTAAGAAATGGAGTGAAATTCTGCAAAGTGCAAAAGTTTCCTGAGGTATGCTTACTACGTGCTCTCTAAAGCACTTTTGGTGCAGGATTAGGAATGTAGTAAGACTAATGAGTTGCATAGAGTAAATGAGTGTTTCTAATATAATATGATGAAAGTGTATCTTCATATTGGCATTTGTTTTAAAAATGTGGACAACATTTGATTATTCACCCTGTAAGAAAGTGAGTCTTACACGTGGAAAGTAAAGTTAGAAGGATGGGGTTTTTCCATGTTGTTACTGTAAGCCTGCAGAACTTACTTATACTGTAGATCATAGAATTAAATGCCATAGCCAGACTGGGAGTGTTCTCTGTAAGTAATGCTTGTAACTTGACATTTTAAAAGTAATCCAATTTTACACTTAAAACATGAGTTGATGTCTGCAATAATCAGGAATAACACATTGTCCCTTTTGACAAGGTCATGCAATAGATGCATTGAAAAAGAGAAAAGGTATCTTGTTCATTGCTGCATCAGTGTTAGTAGCTCTTCATGACTGTTTTGGGGTTTTTTTAATACTGTCAGTAAGACAAGTCTTCAATAATTACAAATTCATTTCTAACTCCTTGAACAGCAATTTATTAAAAAATAAAATCAAGTCTGTGGAACACAGCTTGTTATAGTTGCCTCAGGCCATAGAGAAAAGTGATTTTTGGGATGATAAAAGGAAAAGATGGCATGTACAGTGTAGTTCTTAAACATCAAATAGTAGCCTGTATAGTCTTGAGTGATTCTGTTGATCCTTCTTACAGGTACTGTGCATTCATCTCAAAAGATTTAGACATGAACTTATGTTTTCCACAAAAATTGGGACCCATGTGTCCTTTCCCTTGGAAGGCCTGGATCTTCAGCCTTTCCTTGCAAAGGACAGTCCAGCTCAAATAGTAACTTATGATCTCCTGTCTGTCATCTGCCATCACGGAACTGCCAGCAGTAAGTACGAGGGTGACTGTTTCAGTTTTGCGGTTGATACTCATATCAGCACCATTGTTTGAGGATGATATCCATATACTTAAGGGTAGATAGATGAGCATTGATAATTACTATGTGAAAGATATATGCTGCGATTTGTACCTTGAATGATGAGATGGCTTGCTTTTGAAGAGATCACATATTTGAAATTGTAACCCCAAAACAAGCAGTAACTGCTATTTATAGGTAGTTATGAGTAAATGAGCAAATGTCTCGTGGCTATATGTCAAGCTTTTTCCTACCCAGTGGTTTCAGCACTTTTTAAATTTGGAAAACAGGAGAAAGAAAAGTTTGAAGTGAAAAACTTGATAGATTTTTACAGAAGTTACCTACTCCTTCCTGCTTCCCAAACTTGAGCTATCCATTATTTAGGTGTAGTTGTTTCAATTTTTTCTGGGTGCTTTTTCATCGTTCATTTTTTGCTTGCTGAGTGATGTTTCTCATAATCAGTTTCATAGATAGTTGATTACTTAATTATTGATAGTTGAATATGATTTAACAATTAGTAATAATTTAAAATAGAGGTATTTTTCAAAACACCTATAAATATGGTCTTGGTAATCATGTAGCCATACCACTTCTCTGCTCATTTCTGCTATAAAACATATGAGGATTTAAAAAGAGTTAATTTATAAAATGTGCTTAGGGTAATTTGTTCAGTCAGTCTTACTCTGATCTGAGTATCATAGTTCAGGAGTGCATTAGACACTGAACTGTTTGAGAAGTTGAAGAATATTCTGAAAGCCATGTCCAAGTTTGCACTAGCTGGTAGAAATTTAAAAAAAAAAAAAAAAGCTGATATTGAGTTTGAGAGAAGTGAATATTCAGATCCTGTCTAGTACTGATTTAATCTTTCTCCCGTTTAAGACTACTTGGTTTTTTTTGGACTTCCTATGCAAAAGTCCAAAAGAAGTAAAATGGGCAGCTCTGGACACTTTTTAAAAACTGTTGCTTCTAACACTTTAGGTGGACATTATATAGCTTATTGTCGCAACAATTTAAATAATTTGTGGTATGAATTTGATGACCAGAGTGTCACAGAAGTAGCGGAATCTACAGTGCAAAATGCAGAAGCCTACGTTCTCTTCTACAGGTAAGAAATTATAAGTACAATCTTGCTTGTATTTGTCAGGTATGTAAATAACTTTTCAAGCAGTTGGGCAGCTTTCAGAAATTAGCTGCCCTGTGAGAATTCTAAAGGAAGAACTTGACCAACTGGAAGAGTATATACTGGAGAGAGACTTAAACCTTCAGTTGTGTCCTTAGGGCTTGCTCTGGTCACCAGATTTGTCAGGTAGTGTTTGCTCTTGGTGAATTTATGTTGGTTGCCACCAAATGCCTCCTCATTTTCCATGTGCTTTAGCGAAGCCTTCACAAAGATCTTCTCCATGATCTTGCCAGGCACAGAGGTGAGACTGACTGCTGTGTAGTTCCACAGATATTTTTTTTTCCTTTTTGAAAATGGGGGTTATGTTTCCCCTTTCCAGTCAGTGAGAGCTTGACCAGACTGCCATGATTTTTCCAATAAGAAAAGTTTTTTTGCATGCTAAGTCAACTACATGCTGGTGGAATTTTGAAGTATAGATATGGCCCAGGAAATTTACTTGAAAGTACAGTTTCCTTTTCACAAAGTAAATGATCTGCACTGTGCACAAGGTTATATATTTGTTTAATGATTTCTCTTTTGGTAATAGAAAGAGCAGTGAAGAAGCACAGAGAGAGAGACGGAAAATATCTGGTCTGCTGAATATGATGGAACCAAGTCTTCTGCAGTTCTACATTTCCAGACAGTGGTTAAATAAGTTCAAGACTTTTGCGGAGCCCGGACCAATTTCAAATAATGACTTTCTCTGTATGCATGGAGGTGAGACTGTAACTGAGTATCATTTTTTAAGAATTTGTCTGTTGTAGCTATACAGGGATGTACAGCTGTTTAAATTAAAAGAATTTGAATATAGTAAGTTCATATTACAGGTAACTTCTTAGGTAAATTTGAACTACTGAGTAAATTAATTCTCTTAGTAGCTGACTAGTTGGAAATGATGCTGTGTGAAGTTATCCTTTTTTTTTTTTAAATCTCTCTGCACATTTGATTTTCTTTATAAGCTTTCTTGATTCTCAGAGGAGCAGTTTGGCTTCTACTTGCTTCCTAAGCATATATGTTATCATTTAAAAAAAAAATAAAATTCCTGTCACTTTATCATCATCCTCAATACTGTCATCTACGAATCTAAATATTTTTCTCAGCTGTGTGCAAGAAGTAACAAGAAGGTTTGAAAGCTGAGGGGAAAAAAACATTAGTCTGATACAGAGCAGCCAGTGCCTAGTAGTGTGAAAATAGAGTAGCAAGTCTGTGTATTTTGTATAGGAGCATAAAAATCTTACTTTGTGCTACTTGTTAATTAAAACGAGGTAATTACATTAAACAAAATATATATATGAGGAAATATCCATATTTCAGTGCTAACATTCCAAGAAATCATTACTATGTGTTGTCCTTATACCTATTTTCTAATAATAAATAGAGGTGTATTAATTGGATTAGCAGAGGTGCTGCCCTGTTGCTGAACCAAACTTTTAACATAGCAATATTGTGCCCCTGTAGCAATTTGCAGAACGTGTACATGTGAACCCTGTGAGGTTTTTATTTCCCCAGGGTTACAGCAGATGACTCATTGTATCAGTGAGACTTTCCCTGTTGAAAAGAATTCCTGCATAGCATATTGCTGCTTATCATGTGCGTAAATTTAGTGCTTCTAATACTGCAAGTCCCTCTCTGCCTCCTTCAAAATGTTGCTACTTCCAAGCATTCATATTGTTTGAAGTAATTAAAAAAGGTCTACAGGAAATAAGTTACATTTGAATAGACAGTTTGCTAATGTGTTTACATGCAGAATCAAAATATTTCATCACTCTTTAACATTTTAATAATATACCTGAAAAAGCATTTTGCAATCAGTATCTAAAAAGGATTCTAGCCCTTAAATGTTAATCTTTCATGTGGTTCTTTTTTTATAAACTTTTCAGCCTCATAAAAGACTAAAATTAGAGTAGTCTCTGAATAAAATAATAGATTATACTGTGATGAAGCTTCTTTCAAATGATTTCTCTGAATTCATTGAAATATTAGGGTTTTAAAATTTATTTAGGATCCTCTAACGTAGTCTTTTCTCCGCTCCTTCCCCACAATAAAATCTGTAAGTCTTGTTTTTCACCCCCTATGTTTCTGTAGGTGTTCCACCACACAAAGCTAACTTCATAGAGGACCTAGCTGTAATGCTACCTCAAAATATATGGGATAATCTGTATAGCAGGTAAGTTTTGTGCTATAACTGGAGAAAATCCAGTGGTACAGTTTGAGAGCAAATATGTGCCAAGCAGCAACATCAGACGTTGTTTTTCTGAGTCACTAATTCTCTTTAGAGAATAAGATATATTCTCTAGGCCCAAAGTTGAGTGAAGGGATTGCAAACAGACAAGTTCTATAATTTGCTTGTGCAGAGTAATGCTAAAAGCCTATATAAAGTAGTGTGTTACTGGAATACTACTTGAGTATTAAACTAATAAACATGTATGGTATGTACAAAATGACACAAAGTAGGTCAGCAAAAATACTCTTTCCAAAAAGAGGTATTTTGAAAGAGCTCTCTGTATCAGCTTCCTGTTCTCTTGTTAGCTGGAGACAGCTTTTCTTTTATGTTGGCTTTGAATCCATAGCCTCAGCTGCCAGTACTGCTTTAAAATAACTTAGATATAAGTATTCATATAACTACTCCACACTTTTTAAATGTAGGTCAGGTTTAAGTGCTTGCTTATAAGGGAAGGAGTCTTACAACATGTGTCTCCTTTTAAAGTAACAAAATGCAGCTTTGCTGATGAATTTAAGGACTTTGTACTGCACTTGCATTAAATATTTTTAGCTGTTAATTTTCTGCCTCCTAAGCACTGTAGCTAGAGGGTCGGGGTTTTTTTGGTTTAAAGTTTCAATGAAGAGAAGTGAAAAATAAAAACAATGCTATTTCCAGCTTATTTCTACTTTCCTAGATGTAGGGAATTTTGCTTCCTAACTGACACAAGGCATTATCCATTTTCTGTAAGAAAAATATTTATTAAATCTGAAGGAAAATGGTTTTAAACTTCTTATTAATTTCCCTTCTTTGTACATCTTAACAAGATGTCCAGCTGTAGTAATTTCATAGAAAGATAGAAGTCCCAGAGATGGTAGCCATTCTCCAGATTTTGAGACACACATGCTTATATTTATCTCCTGTGTTTCTCAGTAGCAGTGCCCCTGAAGACTTTCAGGTATGTGGTTTAACACAAGGAAAATACGAAGAGGAGGGTCATGGAGAATAATTTTTTAAGAACAAAACAATGAACAAGTTTAGAGGCTGGTGTCAGGAAGGTAGCAGACTCGTGAAGAGCCTGCAATGGAGTGGAGGAACATGGTTTAAATGGAAGTAGCTGGAAAATGTCCTTAATCTGTTTCTTAGAGGCTTTAATAAAATCATACATGGTGTATATACAACAGAGTCGTTGCTGACATGTTCTTCCCCTGGTAACTAATGCCTTTGGAATTATGTGACAGAGCAGAGTTTGAGTTGGTTTGTACTAGATTTTGGCACTCAGAACTTGGAAGATAGTTGTGTCTTAGGACAGAGTACAAGATATTACTAGGAAAATAAATTGCACATATCAGAGTTCTGGTACATGTTATAAGAAACTGACTCTTGCGATGTCTACAGGTGCATTGTCTTTTTATATGATGTTCTCCACAAGGTTAATGGTTTTTTACTTTCACTGCAGGTATGGAGGAGGACCAGCTGTTAACCATCTCTATGTTTGTCACACCTGTCAAATAGAGTCTGAAAGAATTGAAAAAAGAAGGAAGAATGAACTGGAAATGTTTATTCGGGTAAGAAAGTAAACATTTATTCATTCTGTTTTTTGACATCACCTGGCACTTATGACTTGACTCAAGGGGTTACCAGAAGTTCATAGGTGATTCCTTTAATAAATGGACTTTATGAAATGTCTGTATACCTGTATGGAATCCCTTCTTTCCTCTTGGCAACATTAATGTTCTTGTGATGTCCCAGATAGCTGTTTATATGGGGAGGTACTTAGAGAAAAAATTTAATGTATTTCTTAAATAGCTTTTTTTATATCAGTCAACCTCACCTCCATTCCTGGAAAAATGATGGAGCAGCTCATTCTGGAGGTCATCTCTAAGCACAGAGAAGAGAAGATGGTTATCAGGAGTAGCCAGCATGGATTTACCAAGGGGAAATCATGCTTGACTACTCTGGTAGCCTTCTACAATGTTGTAACTGAATGGATAGATGCAGGGAGACCAGGAGTTCCCTAGGCATCAGTGCTGGGTCCAGTCCTGTTCAACATCTTCATCAATGACCTGGATGAGGGGATGGAGTGTGTCCTCAGCAAGTTTGCTGATGATACAAAACTGGGAGGATTGGCTGATAACACCAGAAGGCTGCGCAGCCATTCAGCAAGTTTTGGACAGACTGGAGAGCTGGGCAAAGAGAAACCTAGTGAGATTCAACAAGAGTAAGTGTAAAGTCCAGCATGTGGGGAGGAATAGCACCATGCACCAGTACAGATTAGGAGCTGACCTGCTAGAAACTCCTTGGAGAAGAACTTTGGAGTCCTGGTGGACAACAGGTTATCCATGGGACAGCAATGTGCCCTTGTGGCCAAGAAGGCCAATGGTATCTTGGGGTGCATTAAGAAGAGCGTGTTGTAGAGAGGTGATTGTCCCCCTGTCCTCAGCACTGGTGAGGCCCCACCTGGAGTACTGTGTCCAGATCTGGGCTCTCCGGTTCAAGAGGGACAGGGATTTACTTTAGAGAATCCAACAGAGGGCTGCAAGGATGATTAAGGGACTGGAACACCTGCCTTATGAGGAAAGGCTGAGAGACCTGGGGCTGTTTAATCTAGAGAAGACTGAGAGGGGGTCTTATCTGAAGAGAAGGAGGGGCCAATCTCTTTTCAGTTCTACTCTGTGATAGGATGCAGGGCAATGGATGCAAGCTAGAGCACAGAAAGTTCCACCTCAACATGAGGAAGAACTTCTTTTCTGTGAGGGTTACAGAGCACTGGAACAGGCTGCCCAGAGAGGTTGTGGAGTCTCCTTTTTGGAGACTTCAAGACTTGTCTGGATGCATTTCTGAGTGACCTGTCCTAGATTCTGTGGTGGCCCTGCTCTGGCCGGGGGTTGGACTTGATCTCCAGAGGTCCCTTCCAACCCCTAACATTATGTGATAGTATGGGAACAGAGTGCAGCCACATGACCAGTTGTTCTGAGTATACTGCCAATGATCTGTTCTGTGCAATCCGATGCAGTTTAAGTGCAACAATACTGTGCTAGCAAAATTAATTAAAATCTTTAATTCTAATTTAAGTAATATAATTAGAAAGATAAACAACTCAATGTTCATGAAATACCTTAGTATTGTAATGGATCTGTAAAATTGCTATCAAGCATCTACTTTCTTTTCCATGAGTTAGAGATTATGTGCATGAATCTGAAAAAGAACTAAAATAACTAGTAGTAATAATTTTGTACTTCTGAAACTAAGGATGTGTGTTGAAGTTTTCAGTGAAAATAAATGCAGAGATATTTGACTCATATTTCTGCCATCTTAATTCACGTGAGGGAGAAAAATAAAATTGCAGCTGTTCTTTCAGTTATATCTGTACTTTAATCACGCTCCAGAGATTGTCAGCTTTTCCATATTTTTAACTGCTATTTGAACTTCTTAGTAATTTATTTTTCTTTAGCTTGGGTTACCAGTGGATAGTAATAGTTATCAACATAGAGTCCATTTGCTTTAGCAATCAGTGTTTTTCCAGTATAAATATATGTGCACTATTGCATAAATACTGTTATGAGTTAGCTGACAGAAAATTCTGTTATCCTCTATAAAGATTGCTTTAGGGAATGATTGCCAAACTGCTTCTATCTGAATCATCTGTGGCTTCAAGGGAGAAGTATAGCTGTGTTATCACAGAACTAAAAGATAATGGTTTTAAATGCTTAAGTGAGATTTTGCATGTTTCTTAAAAATATTGTTAAAATATCTGTAGTCCCTGAAAAAGAATACAGTTATAGAAACAAATGTAGTTAAGTGCAACTAAGACTCTTAGCTGGGTTTTTTTGTAATTTTTACAGTCATTTACATTGGTTTTCAACACAGGCTCAAAAAATGAGGATGTGGTTTTGGTTTTTAAATTTTGTTTTAATGTTAAAATAGTGGTGACAAAATATTTTTTGCCTTTTAATTTTTATTTTTTTTTTAAACAGACATCAAGTAATGAAAAGTCACAGTGCATTAGTTCACCCTACCTTGCTTGACACGTGTTAAAAGTATTAGTGGAAAAACAAACATAGATGAAGATATAGTTCATTGCACAAAGAAACTTCCATAAAATTAAGTAGAAAATCTTTCAAAACACTGTTTTGTTTTATTTTACAAAAATAAACTTTCTGCTTGCTTTTATCATTGGAAAGTTCAGTCTTCACAGTAATTATCCAGTAGAGTTTGCTGGGTAAGCACTTGTGCTTAAGAACTTGTTGCTGTTTCCAGGAAAAAATAAATAAATTCTCAAGTAAACAACAAATCATCTTTCAATATGAAGGCTGCAACTACATCAAAATCACTACAGCAAAATCCCACCTTGGGTGTTCACTAGGTTTTTACTGTTCTGATGGTCACTAATTCTTTAAAATGTTCTGCTGCAGTGTAATACACTGTTAATAATTAGTGGTTAAAGGAATTCAATAGTTCAAAGGAAGAGAAGTAGAAAAACACAGATATTTTTTTCCTTTCAGCTTAACAGAGCATTCCAAGAAGAAGAATCTCCATCAACTTTTTACTGCATCAGTATGCAATGGTTTAGAGAATGGGAAGGATTTGTAAAGGGTAAAGACAGTGGTAAGTTGTGCTCCATTTCAAAACATGGGTAATATTTTATTTTTTATTGTCCTGTAGTGGTTCTGTTTAAGTAAATTGTTCCTGCTTTGGTGGAAGGCTGCAGGAAGAACAGATAGAGAAGGCAATGAAAGCTCTTAAAAAGAACATCTAACACACAGGTTTTGGAGGTTAGAAATATATCCAGGAACCAAATTACAGAAGATAGCAAAATAATTTTTAAGAATGGATAATAGGATACTTGTGGAAAGAAGGTTGCTTGTTTGTGGTCAGTTTGTTGTTAGCAGCAGCAGGCAAATTGTATTCAAGTACAAAGGAGGATACATTTTGCTACATAAACTTCTATGCTTCAGGTTCTGGAGGAACGTGACCTTTCCGTCACAAACTACTCTTAGGTAATTGAGTAACAGCTATAATATTATAACTTCAGCTTTCTCTAGGTGTCTCAAGTTTTTAAATGGAAACACTGGTAAAATGTTTTATAGTATTGCCTGAATCTGCTCTGGGACAACTCTGCTAGGGGTAAGAATTAGGAATGCTGTGAAAAACTTGTTCTTCATTAAAATTCTTTTAACAACTTAAAATGTACTGTTAAGCAGTCAACAAATGAGCTATTTCTTCTGTTTGAAAACAGAACCTCCAACCTGCCATTTGTTTTCTCCCAATTTTAATCATCTTTCTGTCACACTAGATCCTCCTGGTCCTATTGATAATGCTAAGATTGCAGTAACAAAATGTGGAAGTGCTGTGCTGAAACAAGGTAGGTGTCCAGTATTACTGCATCTTTGGGCTGACATTTGGAAAACATACTCTGAATTATTTTTTAAAGTGTTATTATAAAATGGCAATTCCTAGCTTATCTGCATTGTGCCCATTTGAGGGGACCAGCATCTTAGAATAAATTATCTGTAATAGACTAATCCAAGTACAGTTGAGAACGTTGAAGGAGGTGCAGAGTAACTATAAAATGGAAAAAGTGTTCTTTGGCTTCGGATCACTTGGTTTGATTTGGGGAGATTCTTGGCTTTTAGACTGTCATATGTCTGTAGTTATTTGAATCTTGAAACATACTATGAATTGAGTTCTTGCACTCATGAGTTGTACAGTATGTTAAATGATTTAAGTGCTCATGTAGAATTCAAATAGAAGGTATAAAGCATCTGACCGATGTATAGCCAAAAAAAAGATAATTTTAGAATCAATAATAGATAGCAAATTAGCTGGTTGTTGCCTTAACTTCTGGTATGTTCGTTCAAATTAGAACTTGGGTAGAAATGAAGACTAACAGGCTGTGGAAAATGTGCTTCATAAGTCATGAGAGAAGAGGTGGAAGCATCACTAAATAGCGTGCAGTATTACACATTTCCATGATCCAGTGGTCCTGATCCCTGTGCATTCATTCACTGCCTGTTCAGTTCAACATTGCCATTAGAAGTGCTGGAATCTGGATAAGGAAGTGAAGTTCTATTCTAGTGCCTACAGAGGTGGAGTTTTTTTTGAGTACCTGAGTCTAAATGAATGAAACTGAGGCATAATCATTAGCATGGCATAGGATCTGCATCATGACTTGTAGATTAAGCTTTGCATTAATTAGTTGGACAAAGCTTTGAATTAGTGTAGGTAAATAAATGTCCAGTTCTTTGTACTCTTCCTTTTTGGAAACTCATTATACGTGAAGTACAGTAGGAGGCAGACTGGAGCAGGTGAGGAAGACAGAAGAGTATAGGAGGTAGGGGAGATACCTCCTTGCTACTGCATTTCTTGTTTATTATTTTTTTTAAGTAGGAGGGTGCTGAAATTAGTCTTAACAAGACAGATTAATAGTATCTAATAAGAATATTGGGAGGAATTTGCCGCAGGGCAGGTTTTGAATTAATTGCTTAAAGAAGAGGTTTATTCCGATAGAATAGAAATTTGTCCTCTCTGGCTAGGATATGGTTATCAGGTTAGGATTTTAAATTTAAATCTATGTTCTTGTTTGTTTGTTTGTTTCTGTTGTGGACTTCAAAGAAATAATGAAAGAATTATTCTAAATAGTAATTAAAGTTTTAAAAATGTTTTCAGGTGCTGATTCTGGACAAATATCTGAAGAAACATGGGATTTTCTTCAGTCAATCTATGGTGGAGGTCCAGAGATTATACTCAGACCACCTGTTCCTCCAGTAGAACCTGATATCTTGCAAACAGAGGAGAAGATTGAATTAGAAACTCATGGTCTGTAGCTATTGAGAAAGATATGACCTTGTAAGGAATCCAGCTTCCTTACAAAATGCCCAAAATACATTCCTAAAAATGTTATTCTCTTATGTCTGTTGGAGGCACAGCTCACTGGGCATTACATTAATTACAGAACAGTAAGTTGAAATCTGTTAGAGACCATTTCTCTTTTTTGGAAGGCATATGGTTTGTACATTCTGGAGTGTTTGGTCAATGGAAAAATGAAATTTCGGAAGTTTTTGGTATAAATTAATCCTGTTATACTTAGACTTGAGAAATGGGGACAATTTTTAGAGATGGTCAGTAACCCTTCCGATTCCTGATGGGGCTTCCTAGATTGACAAACTTTTGTCTGTCTTACTTGTACAGTCTTGACAAACCTAGATATATGGGGAGTATATTTTAAATGGATTGCAGTCAATGTTGAGGAAAAGGATTTTAATTTCTTAAATGCTCAGGAAAAAATTCTCACTTATTTTGCACTGTAAGTATATGAAATGGGTAGTATAGAACATCCAAATACTTACTGTATTTGAATGGGTCAAACATCAGTGTAGACTGAATATTGTTTTAGTCAACAAATGTCATAATTTATTACCTACTAAATTTACATCTTATTATAGTCTTCTGTGACTCTATAGACCTGGCTAGTGTCTTTAATAGTATATGTGACAACAAGATTTAGTCTTCTCTACGGTAACGTTTGAGAGCATGAAGTGTGAAATATAAAATTATTATGGACATGAGTGATATGAATTTCAGAAATTAAATTGTCTGGTCTCTTGAATTACATTTATATGCAGTTCCATTTGGAGGATTTTATTGTATTGTTAAAAATTTTCATTGGCATGATGATCTGTAATGTCAGAAGCAGGAGAAAATGTACATGTTGCGAAACTTTACTGAATGATTCATATTGGAATGCAGAATTGCACTTGCTCTTGTTTTTGCCTGATATTGTTACCTAATAAGCAGCATTATTCAAAGCTGAATCAATTTAAAAAAAAATAAACTGTGGAAGAAAGGGGGAAAAAAAAGCTTTGTTAAACGTTTTTCCTTTATTACATCAATACAAAAACTTTTGAAGTGATGCTGTGGTACTGCTTTGGCACCCATATAACTGTATTTCTTGACTGCTTTCTGTTTAGGCAATGATGTTGATAGCTCTAGCCCTAGAGTAAGGAAATGCTGATATAACATTCTTCTGGATAATTTAATGTCTACTATAAAATCAAACTGGTTTTGAACTTTCTGAAGTACTTAAAGCCATTCTGCTTAAAAAGCCACCTGTAAGAGTACCAGAGAAAGTGTCCTCTAACAGCAAGTACTTGCTAATGTGCCATGTAAATCCCAGTATTTTCCTCAGCCTACCTGAGAAGAACTAGAGCTAAGAACACAGCAGTGCAAATGAGAGGGGTAAACAGGCAGCAGCATGAATCCAATGATTATGTGGCTGATACAGAAGGAAAACACTCTTCAGTGTTAACCTGTATTGCAGGCAGATCTTGTGCAGCCTCTTAATTTTATGACCTTGTATTTAAGTGTTCTTTAAATTCCAGAGGAGGTCATGGGACATGGGCAGCTAGGAAGCCTTGCATGTGCATTTGTATCAATGTCAAGAAACAGTGAGCAGAGACTTTTAATGTCTGACAATACAATTTTGTATTAATAGGCAAGGCAAGTTGAAGTTAATATCAAGTTACCTCTGTATCTGCTAGGTAAACAAACATATCAGTTACTACTACAGACTTGTCTAACTTGTTAAGGTAAAACAATCAATAGTAACTTGCTGACCTTGGCCTGTGGCTGTTCTCACTTCCCACCTCCCTTCTTTGGTTCTTTTTCCATATTAGGATGACTTTTTTTGCGAAGGTTTTATCTCATTTAAGCTATTATTAAGGTTCTCTAACATACTAAAGCTAAATAACAATGAACAGCTCTGCATAATTTAAGTAGAATTTTTCAGACATGATGTTCTTAATTGGAAACTTGGGAAATATTTTCTTGGATAAGTCTCTGTGTGGTGGTCAGGTTTACAAATTTAACTCAATGTTTTAATTAATAATCCGGATGGTGGAACAGACTTCCTCTGCTAAAACTGTCAAGAGAAAAATGGATTGAGTGTTAGGGACGTCACCTTTTGGGGGAATGAAGCAGTTCTGTGCTAAGTATTCGGGTATTATAGCAGATCGGACTAAGAATTAAAATCCAGTGATAGCAAAACAAAACCTGTTCTGAGTAATAGTAACAAAAGCATCAGATGTCAGGCACAGGAGGTGATTATTCTGCTCTACTTGGTGCTGTGCTGCTCGTGAGATCTCTGCTGTTCCCAGTTTTGGATGCTATATGATGATAAATACAGGTTGGGGAGAGGTTATTTCAGAGAAGAGCAAAAAGACTCAGCACAAAAAATGAAGTCTCTTGTTGAAAAGAATGCTGAAGATGCAAGATTTCCATTGTGGAAATAATTGCTGGATAATAGTGAACAGTTTTTTCTAGATAAGTAGAAATCTTTATCTCAATTTTAGCAATGGTGACTTGTGCTGGGTTTAGGTAGCCTGTTAGAAATCTAGAAATATTCTAGGAGATTTGCCAGTCTTTTCCACTGGGTACCTGGAAATCCATAGTCAAACAGAAACTGTGATGTCCATAAATGAGTAACAAGACACTTTAAAGTAACAAAGTTTGTGAAATGCCTCTGTCACCATGGCAAAAGGCATTTTCATACTATAGCTATTTGTTATGCTTTAAAAAAAGAAATCCTGAGTTTGTGATGAAATAGATGTGTTTGTGTTCAAGACAGGGGATGTCTGTCTTGCTTTTGGTCCTTTGAGAGCTTGATAAAGGCTTTTATGCCATGGAAGTGGAAATAGCCTTTTAAAGTAAGGCAGTGTGGGAGAACTCCAGATGGATGGCTTGTGTGTGCTGGAGTGAAGGCAACACTTCAGAGAATAGGTAAAGGAGAAGCCTTTACTATGAAGAGCTGTCTTATTCACAGCAAAGAACAAATGCATCTCAGGAAGGGGCTGTGAATTATTTTTTTTCCATAAGCCTTTCACCAGACTATTTGGATTCTTTGTTCATTTGTTTCCAGTTGAGGAAACACAGCAATGCGTTTTGGTGCCAGGGAAGCTGTCATTTCAAGAAGGGAAAAATTCAGTGGAGTCCCTTGTTTTAGGCCTAGGAATCTAGACTTGAGCTGTTAAAAAATTGTTGTTTGGTCTGGTAACTTTAATCCTCTCCTGGAGA